AACGGGGATGTTTTGAGAAGTTCGGGAATAAAAGATGGAATGAAATGAGAGGGGTGCTCATTAAAAAGAAGAGGGACTTTTTAGAAGGGCCTGGAGTGACTGGACAAGGGGGAAATAGTTTTAAATTGATGGAAGGCAGGTTTAGATGACAGGACGAGGGGGTAGTAGTTTTGAACTGATGGAAGGCAGGTTTAGATGACAGGACGAGGGGGTAATAGTTTTGAACTGATGGAAGGCAGGTTTAGATGACAGGACGAGGGGGTAATAGTTTTGAACTGATGGAAGGCAGGTTTAGATGACAGGACGAGGGGGTAATAGTTTTGAACTGACGGAAGGCAGGTTTAGATTAGGAAGGAACTGTTCTCCGTGAGGGCAGCGAGGCCCTGACACAGCGCGCCCACAGCGGCTGTGGCTGCCCCATCCCTGGAAGAGTCCATGTCTAGGCTGGGCGGGGCTGGCAGCAACAAGTGGAAAGTATCCCCGCCATGGCAGGACTAGCACTACGATGATCTTTAATGTCCCTTCCAACCCAGACTACTCCGCGGTTCTGTGATAAATGAAGCTCTGCATTCAGCCGAGCTCCGCACCCCCGGCACGGAATCATCTCTCTCCTTGTCCCCCCCACAGAGCAGCGCTCAATGGCCTCTCCCGCGCTGCCATGGCAACGGCGCCACGCTCAGGGACTGAGGGGCGGCGGGACCGGGACGGGACGGGGACAGCGACAACCCCGGGGACAGCGACAGCCCCCGGGACAGCGACAGCCCCCTCCGGGGTGAGCTCTCAGCTTTCCCCCAGCACCGGCCGGGGGGAGCCCTCAGCTCCCCTCCAGCCCCCTCCGGGGTGAGCCCCGCGAGTTCCCCTCAGGAGCCGAGGCTCCCGCCCGGCAGGCGCGTCCCTCATGCCCGAGGAGGGCTGAGAGTGCCCGGGGCAGGTGTGAGTTGTGTAAATGCCCCAGAGTGTGCCCGGCAGCGCCCTGGGCACGCACCCGCCCAGCTGGCCTGGCTGTGCTCCCTTCATCGCCCCTCTCACGCCTTTCTGGTTTTAGGTTACAGCTCCGGGCAGCTCGTTCTTCCCTGCCCCGCCGAGTTTTCATCAGCCTTGAAAACACACAGGTAATGAAAGAAAAAAAACCAAAACCCCAAACAAGCTCATGCTTTGCTACGGGGCTTTTTTACACCTTTATTTTCTGTCTGCCCTTGTGCTCTGCTGTTTCCCCAGAGCGACTACATCCCGCATCGGGCCTTGAGAGGAGCTCTGAAGGCAAGTTCCGACTCTGCTGCCATCACCCACCTGCTGTTTATCGCCCCACCTGTTGTTTATCACCTTATCTGGTGTTTATCACCTCATCTGGTATTTATCAACCCACCTGCTGCTTTCCCCTGCTCTGTTCGGGGCAGAGCTGCTGCAGCTCCTTAGTGTGGGTAAGAAGGTTTTTCTCTTGGAGAGCCTGCTTTGTAATGTGGGGTGGGAATTTTTTTCTGGTTTTAGGTGTTTTTTATTTTCTTTTTTTTTTTAATTTTTTTTGTTTGTTTTTTTTTTTTTTTTAATTTTTTTTTTTGTTTCTTATTTAGTAGACTGTGTGGAAAGGCTTCGACCCTCCTGCTCATGGCCTTTGTGCTTGAAGTTATTTACAGCTTGTGTTTGAAGTTATTTACAGTTATTTGAAGTTAGTACAGCTGAAATTACGGTGCTCAGTTAAACAGTTGTAGTGGTTTTTGGTGTTTTTCTTTTTTTTTTTTTTTTTTTCTATTTTTTTTTTTTTGTTTGATTGGTTTTTTTTTTTAATTTTTTTTATTTGTTTCTTATTTAGTAGACTGTGTGGAAAGGCTTCGACCCTCCTGCTCATGGCCTTTGTGCTTGAAGTTATTTACAGTTATTTGAAGTTAGTACAGCTGAAATTACGGTGCTCAGTTAAACAGTTGTAGTGGCTGACTACGTTTTTTCCCCTTAACTGCTGGATTTTTTTTCCCTTAACCAAAAACCAAGCTGTTTCAAACCACCACAAAAGCGAAGATACGAAAACCATAAAAAGAGGTGTTGAGTTTGCAGAGCTACCAAGATAATGCATCTTGCCAAAGTGTGGTGAAATTGCAAAATATGGTGAAAGGACTTAGGGAAAGTGGCATTTAGTAAGTTTCATGTTGTTTTCCTGATCTGACTTTATGTGTGTTGTAGAGTGTTACACCTAGAAATGGATAATTGGTTTAAAAATAGGAAGTGGAGTTTGAAATGATTGGTGTCACAGATGTTGGGGCATGGAGAATATGAATTTATTCTGAAAGGCTGGGATTATTTCAGCATACCTGAATTGAAGTTTGTGTATTTTTTTTTATTTCTTATATTTTTAATGTTGTTCTTTTTCCTCTTTCTTTAAAGTAGTTAGCATAATATTAATGTTTAGAAGGACCAGAAGTCTCAGTCGTAGTAATTCACAGCAGATGGGTGGGGAGTGATAATAGACAAACTCTTTAATACACTTGGAATAATTCTTCAAAGGAAATAATTTAGTTTGAAGTATTGGTAAGTAGATGGAACTTAGTGTAGCATGAAATCCACGTTCATGGTGTTGATAATGGGATGTGAGCTGTTGCATAGGCAGTAGCATCCCTCTGGATTTGATGGGTTTATTGATGTGAGAAAGCTGTTGGAATTTGCCCTGGTTAAACTCCTGTAGTGTGAAATAAGCTACACCCATCTTCAGCTGTTTGTGAGTTATAAACCTGTCTTTAAATTGATTAGGAAGAGACTTGAGCTAAAGTGGGATACAGGCTATGTGGAATTTGGGTTTATTTAGCTATGTAGTCTTTTGAGTTGACTCAAATTTTGTTTAGCCCAAACAGCAGTTTTTGGTTTGTTACTTTTAACTGTACATCCATTATCAGCCCAGAGGAACCTGCTGGAATGATGAAATTTGAGTACCAGTGTGGCAGAGGAGCAGGCAGAAAGGATGTGGCTAATTAGTGCTTGATTTATTTATGTTGATGAGTTGCTTTAGTGTTTGCCTCACTGGCAAATTGTGTTGCCTAGTAGAGAGAAGAGGGATTCATTAAGGAAAAACCAGACAGAAAGAGGGAACTCCTCTGTGTATTTAAACTCCAATTTTGTTCCTGAGGAGTTTGGGATTGCCTTTGCTGCGCTTCCCTGGCAGCCCTGGGGCCCAGCTCAGGGATATTTCAGGGTGTGCATTTCCCCACGGGGTTTGTTTAACTTTGACTCTTCCAGACTCAGTGGTTTTATGTTTTATCTGTTCAACGACTCCCTGTATTTTCTCAGAATAATTCAGGAGGTTCATCACTGTTATCCCCTATTATCTACAATTTGATGCTGGTTTTTTTTCTACCCAGTGTTCCTGAAACTTTGTAGGGCTTTTTATCTCTAATATTCTCACACAGCATCTCTGATATTTATCTCTGATATTACCACATTTTAAAGTTATCCCTTTAAATATTTGCTTTCAGTGGAATATGTTAAAGTTAACTTGTATAAATGAATTTTTTTTTATTAACTACTTTCCTTCCTTGAGCTTGCTCAGCTGACCTGTGTCATTTGCCTCTGTTTTTACTATTAAATAGCCTTTGGGCCCCTCAAATCCAGTGTGTGACCTCCTCCTGTCCAGCTGTGCTGGTCCTGCCAGCTCACATTAGCCAAGAGAAAAAGCTTCTTCTGTTCCAAATTAATAAAATCTTTTATCTTGGAAAGTGATAAAGGAATAACTGTTTTGAAATGATGCTAGAATTGAGTGCTTGGGTTTTCTGACACAATAAGAAATACGTTTTGTGCACAAACCTGATGCTTTGTCAGCACTGAAATATTGCATTTTAGGTTCTGTGGTACCAGAACTTCCACGTGCCATGGAGGTGTTTGGCCCCATGGGTGGAGACATTTGGGCACATTTTATCTGTATTAATGCTCATTTAGGTTTACCTGTGGACAGGCAGTTTTCCATTTGGGATATTTCCAATCCTTATATAAGAAATGCGTTTTGTGCACAAACCTGATGCTTTGTCAGCACTGAAATATTGCATTTTAGGTTCTGTGGTACCAGAACTTCCACGTGCCATGGAGGTGTTTGGCCCCATGGGTGGAGACATTTGGGCACATTTTATCTGTATTAATGCTCATTTCAGGTTTACCTGTGGACAGGCAGTTTTTTATTTGGGATATTTCCAATCCTTACCATTTCCTAGGTTCTGCTCTCCCCAGGAAGCTGAGATCCACGAGCTGCAGAAGAGTTTCCAAGCACCCTGGCAGCTGTAAGTCTCTGCACTGTCAACTTTTATTTCTTTTTCCATTAGCCATTATTCCATTCTTTTTCCATTATTTCCAGCAGCAGCAGGAAGTGCCCAGTTTTTCACTGAGCTGCAGTTACTCCACAAACATTCCAGCTCAGCAAGGCTCTGGATGTTCACCTTCAATTTAAACCCCCTGCTGTATGAATTTGCTTTTTGGAAGAGTATTTTATTTTACAACCTGAATTAAAAAAAAAAAAAAGTATTTGAAATACCACTGAAGTCTTGAGAGAAGGGATTATCTCTGCTCTTGAGTAATTGTGTTCCTTTGTATCAATTTGTCTGTGACAGAAGGAATTTATCTTCCCAAATCAGTTGAGATGGTTTGACTTCATAGCCATTGGTACAATTTTCTCCTTCTTGGTGCTTTCTATGGGTTTGGTTCAAGAAAGCTGTGTTCTAGTTAATATTAATCTGCTTGCACATGTACTTTAGGGAATTGTCCAAATGAAACAGCCAAGGAAATCTTTTCCCTGGTATCACAAATGTAATAAAAATGTTTTTTTCTTAGTTAAATTTAATTTTGAGTTGCTCTAGGATTTTATTGGCACTTCATACAAACAAGTTTTATGCTCCATTTCTCTCTATGAATATTTTTGGATGTGTAATGAGTTTTTACTGGTTTAATTTCAATCAAATTCCCATTTCAACAGGTTCCTGACTCTAAATCATTGAAATTCTCTTTTTTCAGGAGAAGTTATACTGGGCATCATGAATGTCAATGATTTTGTAATTCTCCCAGGCTCAAAAGCTGGAACCTCAGTGAGATTAAAAACCAAGTAAGTGCTTTCAATCTGATTGGGATTGAGATGTGTTTTCATAATTTTTAATAAGTTTTAATGCATCATTAACTGGAAGAGTGGAAGAACAAGAAGAATCATGATGTGTTTCTTTTCTAGCATTTTCCCCATGCTTTTATGCACAAGCCTTTCTTTTCTCAGGCTTTAATCTACTTCCTGATTAAGTTACAGGTTTTATAACCCTCTGTATCCACTGGATAATACAAGCATACTAAAGAAATCAGTGGAGTGTTTATTTTAATATAATTAAACCCCAAACCTTTCTGAATACAGGCACAGTTGTATCAGTTTTTTGTTGGAATTTGCACTTAACCTATCCCAAATTTTCCAGAGCTGTTTTCAGTCCTGCTGGGAGATAAAGGAGGGACATGGCTGTAATCACAAATTTTTTCAGCTTCTGTTTTTCTGCTTTAAACTTCTTCAGGTACCTTACTGACTTCCAGGTGACTTCTAACAAATATTTCAATATTTCCTCCAGAACTGTCAAGGAATTGCAGTTGGAGAAAGCTCAATTAGAAACAGAAAACAAAGAGATGGAGAGAAGATTATTGCAGCTGCAGTCAAACATGAGCAGAGAAAAAGAAGAGAGGAGGTAGGTTCAGTTCCTCTTTGGAAAAAGGTATCCAATGGGATGCTCCTTCCACACCTCCAACTCCCCACATGGGATCTCTTGTAAAGTTTGGAATTCACTGTTCTATTCAGTCTCCTCTCTCCAATCTTTCTTCCCAATGTTTAACTTGCTTCCTCATGACTTTATTAATTTGAAACTTCCATATGATATTTGATCCATTTTCCTCATTTATTCCTTCTTTCCCTTTTTTCTCTGTCTGTCTGGATTTGTCACCTTAGTTTTCAAGCAGGAGACAGAGTAGTTTCTCCTGCACCCTTGTTTATTTCTGAGGTTTTTGCAGAGGATGCTGTTGTTATTTTTGATCCCCTTTCACATTGGTGTGGCCTCCCAGGGAGGCCTCTCCTGCATGCTGGCAAACAGGGCCTGGAACCAAGCACAGGGTAATGAGGCAAATGCTGGGGTGAGGTTTAAATCTGAGTCACTCTGAATGTTGGCAAATTCCTGCAACATCTGCTTGCTTTTCCTTGAGTTTGTGCCTGCTGTGTTTGTCCCTGGGAATGCAAATGCCTTGGATTTGGATGCCTTGGTGCTGCTCAGCTGTTGGCAGCTCTGTGAGCATTGCTCTGAGCTGCTGGGGCAGAGTTTTCCAGGTGATGTGTGGCACTTTTGTCTCCATGGTATTCTGTTTTATTCTCAAGGCTTTGTACCTGCAGCCCCTGATAGGGTTGCTGTGCTGAGCTCTAAGGACAGGAGGCTCTGGCATTTACACCACTGGAATCATGGAGTGGTTTGGGCTGGAGAGGATCTGAGAGTTCCTGCCTTTTTAGCAGTGCTGGATGAAGTCCTGCAATAAACTGAGACAATGAAGGCTCGCACAAAATGTACTTTTGTTTTTATTCTTCTCAAACCAACCTTTGAGAATTGATAAGAATTTTTTTTTAAGTTTAAGAACTTGGACCAATTTAATGGTTTAAAAATAAGTACTTTCTCACACATGTGTTGTATTTACTGCTTTTAAAGTGGACTTGAAGCAGGTTTCAATGGAGGAGAGTATTTGTGCTTTGGGAAATTGATTGCCCTATAGAGAAGAATTTTATTTTTGTGATGTTCATATTTAACAAGCTAAAGGGAAAAAATTGTGCTTCTCTTGCTTGCAGAAGGCCAAATTTTGAAGTTTTTTCTTGCCTTGGTCTGTAGGAAGTTAGGTGCTTATCGTTGGAAATCTGGGCAGGCAGGACCAAGGACCCCCCAACCCCGAGCTGTGGCACCAAATAATGAAAACAGGAAGAAGGTAGGAAACCATATTTGCAAGTAAAACTATCTAAAGTAAAACAAGATTTAAAACTGGATTTATGCTCAGTACAGGAAAATTCAAATACTGTAAAACCAAAAGGTTGAGCTCCATCTGAGTAACTGACTGACTACTCATTTTTCCATGCCAAGCTCCCTTTGAGCTGGGGGAACATCAAGTTTTGTTGGGTGATGTGTTGGGGTTTCAGCTACAATAAACAACAAATTATCTCTGCTCCTACAGATTGAGTCCTGTAGGAGTGGCACTGGTAGTGGTGGAAGTCATCAGGAGCCTGGCTTTGGCTGGCTGGTGCCCACGATGGATCTGAAATACTGAAAGGCTTTGGGTGAAACTTTGAGTGCAATTTCTCTGCCTTCCCAGATAAAACACACTACAGCTAAAGTCTTTTCTTTAACTCAGTTATATTGACTCTTGTTCTATTACACCTTTGCTCAGACCTAAAAGAAGGGATGTAAAACTTTCCTGCTAAATCTTTGAAAAATCTGTTTTCTTTTCAGTATGTACAAATGGGGTACTTATCTTCTTTTGGAAGAGTCTGTGGCAATTTTTTTTCAACTGGCAGAAAATGAGAACTCAATAAAATTGCCTTCTTGTCTGAGAAAGGAGAGGATCAGAATGAAAAGGTTTTCTTTACCCACCTCTTTCCCTTCCCCCTTCTCCGAGACAAGGAACTCAGAGCTGTTGCTGCTTCAAGGACTTCAGGTTTCAGCTGGGGTGGCTGAGGAGGTGAAAGGGGCAGAATCTTAAAAATGGCAAAATTAAAGGGTGAGTGAGGGGCAGTGAGGCTGCAGGGTGAACTCGGTTTGCAGGGGAAAACTGAGGAGCAAAAATGCTGAAAATGATGGATTACTGGGATGTTTGTCCACGTGGTCCTTCCATGGTCTATGTTTCATGTCTGGGGAGGGAAACTGGTTCTGAACCTCGTGGCTGTCATGAGCAATACATGAAGTTTTCTCTTTAAATGCATGCCCTATTTTCCTAGAAGAATTTTCATTCTGTAAAACTTTATTCATTAGCATTAGAATCTTATACAGATATATGTAAATATTCTTTCCTCTAGGTTCCTCCACAAAAAGTGAAGTTACAAGTACTCAAACATGTTCAAGGTAAAGACGTCTATCTTAACCGAATAAAACTTAAACTTCTGATAGATTATTGCTTTGTAGAGGTTGCTGCAATTAAACACTGAGGAAAACAGAGTGGAACACTGGATTAGTTGAGATTTTTGTTCTTTGTTTTGTTTTAGAGCCAGTGAAAAAACCAGTTAAGCCTGAAAGAGGAAATGTTGTAGCTCATGAAAAATTGGGAGTGAAGGGGATGGCCTATCGACCACCTGAAATTAAGGGTGGGCTGCTGGTAAGTAAATGGTTAAAAATAACTTTCAAGCAACACAATGTGTGTAGAATTTTTTGTCAGTATGTAGACACACTTTTTTTCTCTCTGATAATTACTTAGTGCCTGTAAAGACAGGTTTTACAGACTGATCTCCCTGAATGCAAGGAAACAGATGAAATGGTTCTGTTGTCAGAACTGTGACCACTTCTGTAACTGGTAACAGTTAAAGAATTTATTTAAACTGTATTTTTATTAACTTGCCCAGTGTGTGGCCATAGCTGAAGGAGGCTGATCTCATCCTTAACTAAAGAGCACTTCTGTGATTAAAGTAAGATGTGTGGTTGCAGGCAAAGGGGCCAAAATCAAGTGGTCCATGAATGTTTTGTAATTTTAAATCTTTACCTAAAGCCCAGGGCATGTTTTGAATTCTGACTGATTTCCAAGCTGACACCTTGTTGGTTGTGTTAGAGTGGAAATTTCTATTAGCAAGTATGAGGTGATTTCTATTTAATAAGGGTTTTTTTGCCTTTTAGCAAGTAGGAAATAGGAATAATAAACAGGAAACCCAGCCTCCAAAGTGTAGTGTAGCCTCATACATCTCGATTTTAAAGTAATTTATGTGAATTTCTACTGTTGAATAAGAAAATAATATTTTTATTCTAAAAAAATATCATCTCTCTTAGAGATCCCCCCGGAATACATGATGTGATTTTTTTCTCCATTATTTTATTAAACCAGTTGGAGCTGCTCACCCTCAAAAGGAACTGATATTTTGTGTGTCTTTGTAATGCTTCCCCTTTGGGGAAAAATACGTGCGGATTTGGAATTTAAGATAACTTGCCAACAAAACCGCGGGGATTTTGCTTCCGCGCTCCCAATTTCATTAACGCTCACGGAACAAAGACCACCCCTCGCTCCCAGCAGCGCAGATCGCGCGTTTTGTTTTTTTCCAGCGGTTTTTAGGGAGCGATCCCGGCGGGCCCGGAGCGCGGGGCGGCTGCAGTGCCGCGGATCGCCGCCCGAGGGCGCTGCGCCCCCGCGGGACGCTCCAGCCCCGCGCATCCCGGAGCGCTCCCGCATCCCGGGGATCCGCGGCTGGCAGGGGCTGAGCCGGAGGAATAACGGGCTGGAAATCCGTGCTGGTGGGAGGGATTGAACTGCGAGTCGCTGGAGTTGTTCCCTGCGGATTCCTCTTCACACAGTGAACTTTGCTCTGTGCTTACCCCGCGCTGCAGTAAGAGGGTTGGGGAATGCCCTGGGCGTGCAGACACTGACACCTTTAACAACCACCATTTATTGCTTTTGCAGTCACAAGTGCCACTGGATGCACAACCAGTCCCTGGATCCGTTAGAGCATAGGGCACGTAGACAGAAGGGGTTGGGAAAACATCCTGAGTGTGTAGGGGCTGCTGATGTTGGACTCTCACCTTCGCTGCTGATGTTCCTCACTTGGAGAATGTGTAGACAAAGGATCTTTCCCATAAATACTTAAATTATTTCATGGTTTTGCTTGATGGTCATCCAAGAGTAATGATAATGAAAACCTTCCGCAGTAACTTTCTTTGTTCTAATACAGGTTGTGAAATCACTCAAGTCCCAGTGTAGGCCTGTTTTTCTCCTTTTGTAGCTGTTTTCAATCAAGTTTATTAATTACAGTTTGGATTTCCCTGGACTGCTGTATTAATGGCTATCCCAGTTATCCCCTTAAATGACCATTTTCCTCTTGCTGACCTCTCCAGGTGTGCCCCTCTCCACTGGGAAGCTTCAATAAGCAGCTCTTCATTAGTAAAGCACATAGCTCATGAATTCCTTTAAATGAGACATGCTGCATTAAATGCCTCATTTAATCCCCTTGTACATGGGATGTGGTGTCCCTGGCTTTATATCCAAAACATGGGATGTGGGTGTCCATGGCCACTGCTCTCTGATACCAGAAACTGTAAAAGTAGGGGTTTTGTGTCTGGTAATAAAAACTTGTTTATCTGTCTTATTTAGTTCTTGACAGATCTTTGCAGTTAATTGTGATCAAGATCACATAAAATGGGAGTGATCTTGATTACCAGGTAGCTCAGCTGAGCCCAGAAAAGTGAGTGCTGCAATTCCACAGCTGACACTAAAAATGTTGCTGCTCCTCAGAAATGCTTTATCAGTAATGTTGTGGAACTGATTTAGGAACCAGCCTCAACATCAGCCTGTGCTAGCCCTGGAAAGCAGGACAAAGGAATGCTGCTGAGTGGTGCCTTTGATGAGAAGGCATCTGCAAAGTCTTTTCAAGAAGCTTTGCTTCAGTGGAGAAAAGGTGAAAGTGATCCTGGAAGAGATCCATGTGCCAGTGAGGTCCCATCAGGTATGGTTTGTTTTGTTTTATGACTTTTTAAATACAATAGGAGCCTTTTGGGGGGAGTTAGATTTTAGGTTAATGATTATTTAGATTAATAAGATGTGAAGCTAAGAAAACCCATTTTACTCTTTCTCAGTGTGCCTTTATTAATAATAATCATCTCTGAAGGTTTTTTAATGCTATGCAGAGTGTTTAGCTCAGTTTTTTAATGATCTCTGGCAGTGGCCAGGATGTCCAGCCCATGTCCCTGAACCTTCCCATGGCTTTGTGTCTCACGTGGCACTTCAGCATGAGCTGCAATGCTCCAACATAAAATCAGTTTTAAACTGAGGCAAGGAACGTGCAGGGCTCAGGATTTTGTGTGTTCTATCCAAGTACATTTTCTGCTTGCCTTCCACAGGCTCTTAATATTTCTTTGTCCCAATGAAAAGCTGCAATCAGCTGAAGTATGCATGGAAAAATATGGAAAATTCCTCTGGTCTGATTGGATTTGTGCAAATCCAATCTGCGTCTTGTTCCTCTAGTCCGTGGATGGTGCTTTTTCTCTGTGGCTTTTTTGTACAAAATAGTACTAAACTGATTTTTTTTCTTTTTTTCTTCTTTTCTGTGGGATTTTGATCTGTGGAGTCATGGATTTCCACCCCCCCACTCTTTCTGTGGTTCCAGTGTGTAAGCTGTAATAAATGAATTTTTATGGCTGCTCCCATTACTGCCTGTGTTCTGTAAATATAATACTGCTGACCATTTAAATTTTGGAGTTATGCAAAGACTGAACTAAGCACAGACCCAAATGTGATGTCCATTCAAGAATAATGTAGGTAAAGAGCCCATTTATAAGCCTGAAGAGCTGTATAATATTGTATAACCATAATTTTGACAGAAGCTGTGGGGAATTGTGAGGTACAGACCAATGTTAGTGCTCTGAAGGAGCCCATCCATGTGGAATTCCAGAAGGATGGCCTGAGCTACATGGAGAAGCTCCTGCTGAAGAAATACAGAAGGTATTATTGAATTTGCTGCCTTCAGAAATACTGAATTAACAAAAATCCTGATGAAACTTTTAAAATATTAGATATATTAGCAAGAGTCAAGGGCAGTGTGAACACAGGGCTTTATTTTAATAAAATAATGATTTTAACCAGACTTGATCACTTCATAGTTCAGAATTCCTGCAGAGGGAGTATTTGGAGGGATTCTCTTTGCTATCAGTTGATTGTAGAATTCGAAGACTGGTAATGATATTTAGTTAATTGATTTTGGGGCATTTGCTACAGGGATTTATAGAAAAAAGGAATCATCAGGATTCTTTTGTGGCCATTACATAGCTGTTGTATGAGCTCTTGAGAAGCAATGAAGTTAGGAGGAGTTAATGCAGCTGCAGTAAATTGGCTGGTAGGGTTTTTCCTTTTTTTTGTGATATATTTAAAAATTACTTTTTAAGATTGATTTTTTTTTTCCCTGTTTCAGAACTCCAGTTGATCAGTTTTTTGCAAGTTGCATGAAGGATTCAGGGCCTGTGCAAGCCCTGAGTGTCCAACAGGCTGGGGCTGGAGGAGGGGGACAAGGAGATGATGATGATGACATTGAGGAGTTAACAGGTGTAACAGATTTCTTTTTATTCAGTCTAAAATACCTTTTCCTTGAGATTTTTCTATGATTGCTGAGCATTTCCACTCTTAACCCATTTGCTAAAGGCAGCAATAATAAAAGGAGAAATTTGTGGGTTTTCCATAATGAATAAAAATGTTGCATTTTTGAGTGTGTTTTGAACAGGAAAAACTGAAGTGCATGAAATTATTTGTATTTCACAGATGAAGAGGTGAAGAAATACTGGGCATCTATTTACAGAGCTGAAGATTCCAACACTGTTTCTGAAAATGCAGAGTCCTCTTTGAAAATTGAGTTCCTTGATGATGTGAGTACTGATAAAGGACTTGATGAGTCTCAACAATGAACTGATTTGTTCAAGATTAAATCTGTTACATGTTTAAAGTAGCAACAGTTAAACAACTTCCAGTAAGGAAGAATACTGGTGCATTGTTTGTTTGCCATACAAATGTGGAAAACTGATCATTCCAAAAAGTTTCCTGTACTTTTTTTCTGTTGCATTCAGGGATCTGCATAATATGGGATTTATACACAAATAAATCTGGCAGTTTTCAGCACTCCTAAATTTTTTCTTTATTTTTAAATTTTTAATTTGTTGCTGAGTGTGGTTCTCTTTATTTTTTTCTTTATTCAGTCTCAGAGCGAGGACTCGGAAGAATCTTCAGACTCTACACTGGAGGAAACTGGAGATGTGGGGATGAATGAGCAAGGAAAAACTGACCCACTGGAGTGTGGAAGGTATCAGAAATGCAGAGATTGTGGGAGAGGAAAGCAAATAATCCCAAATTTGTGCTAGTTCCTAAGAAATGGGGGCTTTTCTTTGCAGGCAGTTAGATTTGAGTTATTATGTGTACAGTGTTTCAAAGCCATTAAGGAATATTAATTGCCTGTAACTAGAGAGGCATCACTTTGAAATCCTAACCCATATGGGTAAGATGCATTTCTTTGCACTTGCACTTGCCTGAGTTTTAGTGAAATTCTCTTTTCTGAGCTCTTAGCAGTAGCAGAAACTCACATACAGATTTTACCATTGATCAGTGCTGTGCAAAATGAAGATACTCTTACTTAACCTGGTAATTCCAGACAAAAACAATAACTGATACTTTGATTTTACCATTGATCAGTGCTGTGCAAAATGAAGATACTCTTACTTAACCTGGTACAATAACTGATACTTCTGCAATTCTTCTGATCTCCCAACATTTATTGGATTAACTGTGATCTGGTTTGCTTTTTGTATCCTTCTGGTCTTTTCCCCTCTATCAAAGCTCAGCATTTGCAGACCAGAACAACACAGAACCAGCTCCTTAAAAGAAAAATGGGTGTAATGGGAAAGTCTTTCCATTTAACTTCCTCAGCTGAAATGTAATAGTTTTTACTTTTTCCTCTCAACAGAAATCCTGTTTCTCCTAAAGAAATTTTTCAAGATAAACGTGAGAAGTTGTTAAGTTCTTCGTTGAAAATAAGTAAATGTGTTCAGTTTGTCATTCTCATATAGGATGGAGTAGTCAGTGGGCTGAAAAATAAAGGTCCTTAAATTATGTCCCATTCTCTGGGCTATCACAATTTGCTTTGATTAGTTTCATGGGCTGTGTGAGCACTATGGTAAATACCTATAACAAAGAAAACCATATGGGCTGTGTGAGCACTATGGTAAATACCTATAACAAAGAACAACTTACAGAATCATTCACAGCCTGATAAGATGGATTTCAAACCTTGGGATGCTTTTAAGGAAATTTTATTAAATTTCCACAATTGCCTTTAGCTTTAGTGAAGATTTTGTATTTTAAGTTCATGAAGAAAACGTTGTTGACTTGCAGGTTATAATTAATATTCATTACAAGTTTTGCTATTTTCATGATTTTGTTCCCATAGAAAAACTGATTGTCTGCAGTGGTCTTGAAATAAACGCAGTGCAGGAGGAGAGCACTGAACCAAAGGCTGGGAGAAGATCACTGAGCTCCTGTGAACTTCCTGGGGAGATCTCTGACCCCACTGAAGGAGTGAGCAAAGATCTCACTGGGGCTCAACTGGAGAGCAGCAGAGATCTCCTGGAGGCAGAACTGCAGGAGAGCAGGAGAGAGCCACAAGAACTGGGCAGGGTCTGCAACAGCCAGAGCTTGGTCTTGCCTGTAACTACAAAATCTTCAGCAGTAAGTTATGGTGTCTTTAATTGCTCAATAGATTAGGGGTGTTGCTTTATCTGCTGTAGGTTTGGAGGATTGTCACTGCCCGCCGTATTTGATATGTAAGGGATGAAAGGCTCCACTTTGTGGTGCCAATTTTCTGTTAATGTTCAAAAAAAAGGCAAAAGAGAACAAACTAACAAACTCTGTCTCAGACATAAAAGCTGTTGGAGAAGCAGATCTTCCCATGTTTGTGTTAACAGTACTTCACCTCTTGTCTGAATGACCAAAAAAGGGTGCCTTGTCTTATCTAAGAAATAATTCAGATCCTCATTTGCTGAAAATAAAATTAAAGAAAAAAAAATGATAGAAAAGGTTGGGACATTGATTTGGAGTCATTGGTAAACAGTGATCACCTTCCTTTATGGACCCAAAAGTGAACACAAAGAAAACTTGCTTTTCATGTCCCTAGTGAAAGAACAGACTCAAGCTCTCACAACACGAGAAATTTTTAGGATTTTAAAGCACATCTTGAGCAAAAACATCATCCTCATGAATATCTATTACAGCTGGCTGTCAAAATCAGTTTGAGTTCTATGAAAGGAGCATTTTATTAATCTAAACTTGCAGGGGCAATTATAAACATTCCTGCTTCCTGTCCTGTTTGTAATTTCTCTGTTTTATTCAAGTTACAGGATGTAGCCAAAAGACAGAAATGTGGTTCTACATCATATCAGGGACTTGAAGGTTTCTTTGTTGTAGGTGCAAACCCTAAACAAGACAAGCTGGAGGCACCTTCTTCCCTGGCAGCTGCCTCCAGCCCTAGGGACAGGAAAATCCCTTTTCCAGGTACTGTTGTGTGAATAAGTCCTCAAAAATATACACGTTTATAATTTTTTTTTCAGTTGCCTTCCATCCAGCTTGCTTTAGGAGTCACTTCAGGATGACAGTCATGCCACACGTGATGGTGGGCAAGGATAAAATAAACTCCCTACTCTGAGGCAATCTAGTGCCATAAATTTCATCTTTTTAATTATGATTAAACTGTATATGGTTATATATATTATAGTATGTATTGTGTATAATATATAAATATATATTACAATAGAAATGGAATAATTTATATTAGTATATCCCCTGACAAAGGAGTTCCATGAGGTTTTGATGGTTCCATTGCTTTTGATGGTGTATATGAAACAACATGTGAACATCATTAATCTGATTAAATATATCACTTGAAATGAGGCTTTTAGTCTGTTATATATCTGTAAAAAATTTGTTGCCTGGCTTCTTTAATTCACACATTAAATGCAGCAAAAATAGAACGAGTAAATGCATATTAACACAAAACCTGCAGATAATTTCCTCTAATAATGTTGGATTTCAGGAGATGAGCAGTGGGTTTCTGAGAGGAGCCTAAGTGACTATGCTGATGACTCTGTAGTTCAAGGTGTCTTGGAAAGTCAGCTGAACAAGGCTGCAAATGCTTTCCAGGCTCAAAATCAGCTTTCTCATCTGATGGCAGCATGGATGCCATGGCCAGGTAGGGACAGCCACAGTTCTGAGCTCCTAATTAGGTTAATTTTAATTGTGTAAGATGGAGACGCTCTGTTGAATTTGTAATTTCTATATCTTCATTTGTGTATTTGTATTTTGGGGGGGTTTTGTTTTGGTTTTTTTAATAGGCTTTTTATTTTAGTTGTTTCTTTGTGTATTTGTATTTTAGTGGTTTTTTAAATTGGCCTCTTTTCAGCTGTCACCAAGAATTCTTTTTATTTGGCTTACTTTCTGCTTCTGCTGCTGCCCTTTTACTCCCCTCTTAGCTTGAATATTTAGAGAATAAACCCTCTAGAAGAAGTTTCTGTATTTGTGTGTGTTGGTAGTCTCTGGTACAATTTGTGAGTAATCTAATAAAGGATTTCTTCTGCTACAGAAGCAAGTCTGATTATATGAACTCTAAGAAACAGGGACACAAGTAATAACTATCTGCACTTTTGTGTTACCTTTCTCAATTTCAACTGTCTCCATCCCAAGAAATGTAGCTCTACATTGTTTCTCACGTCATGAGCAACCAGGTTGACATTTTAATTTAAATAATGCTGTGTGCAGAAATCGAAGCTGTCAGTTTTGAATCCCAGGAAAATATTGGAAAGGGTCTATATTTTATTCATGTTAGTTTAAATTAAAAAAAAAAAAAAACCAAAAAAAACCAGACTTCAGAGCTTTCTGCAATCATTCAGTGTCTCCCCTCACATAAAATTTGTGGCATTGTGCAGAATATTTAAATCATGTATTTCTTTTCTGAAAGATACTTCTGAAGTATGAGGTGGTGAATTCATAGGTGTTAATAAAGAAGTTACAAATATCACTAAAATTAAGATTGTAGTTTTCAATATATTTTTCATTAGCTACAGTTGGTTTGAGACTTTTCATGGCAAGTTTTTGTCAATATTTTGAATTTTTTTCAAGCTGATAGTGGAGATACTGCATCTTTTTGTTCATGTTTGCTCCTAAGACATTTCAGGCCGTGAAAGTAATTCCAACTTAGCTTGTGAAGATGGAACCTCCTCCAGCAGAGCCATGGAGAAGATCTCTGAAAATGCAGATTTGCAGAACACCCTGGATCTGAAAGACCATGACACATTTGATATTTTTGGGTAAGTTCAACTTGCTGGCTGTGTTTTTATGACATTTTAGATTATTCAAGATGCCAACCATGTCAGAAGTGAAATAAAAACATCCCAAACTCTCTAATTGTGCATTACCTGCTAATTACAAAAGTCAGCATGACCTGTGTGGTGTCCTGGTGTTCTAAGCCCCTTCTCGGGCAGCTCAGAGTCAGAACTGAGGGATGTATTCTGTTGTTTAGACTCCAAATGATAAATTTGGGGATTGTGGGGTTTTCAATGCATTAGCACTGAGATTTATGAGGTGAATCTCTTAAAATCTTCTGCATTATTGGGTTGTGACTCACCATCTATTTGTTATTTTGCCTTGGACACTGAGGAGATGACTGGAAAAAAGGAAGTTCCTGAAGTTCTGTGTCTCACTGTTTTTTTACTGGGATCTCCTGCCCAGCAGGAGTCAGAGGAGCACTGAAGGAACTCCATGCTGTGTGATTAGAGCTGATTCACAGATTTGTGACAAAAATTGAGGGAAAAGCTGAATTAGAGTAGCTTTTACTGCCAACATCTCCAGTATAAGCTTTTTTTTGTGCCTTTTAGTTCAACACATGTGCACATATGTCAGCAAGTCTTAAAGCAGAGAACTTGGGGAATTGCAGGCACTGGAAATCACTGGGGTGTGTTTCTTTTAAGGGACTGGGAGGAAAGCCAAATGGATGCTGAGGAAGCAATTCTGGAGGACAAACAGCAGGTTCTGGCATTGCAGTGAACATGGAAAACTCAGTTCAGTCTCCACCTTTGTATGGTTCGGAACCAAGAAGATCAAGAGGTGTTTTAAGTTGCTGCTCAAGACATCATTTACTAAGGAATATTCTGTAAAATTGTCATTAAAACTTCTTTAAAATACCTTTATTTGGCTTTTTAAAAATTCTTACTATGAAGAAATAACAGAATAAAAGAACTTCTCTTGTGCTGTATTTTTAGGACAGTTTTATTCGTTATTTTTAATTCAATGTAAGTTTTCTTGTCTGCAGGTGGAATTTTGTCTCCAAATGTGGTTTTATGTGGCCAAGCTGGGAGGTGGCACACCAGGGGTATTAATGGCATGAACTGGGGTCTCTGTGTGATCAGGTTTGTGGTGAGAAGCACAGGAAGAGCCTCTAAAGTCAAGTACATTTTGTCAGATGTTTTAGAAGGGACTGCACCTTGCAGAATAGAATTTAACAGCTTTCCACTGTACATTTAACGTCTCCTTCCACACTCCTAACTCCAGCAGCAAACCTCTGCTCAGAATCAATTGGGAGTGAATTCCCTTCCTTTCCCTGCTCCAAAATTCCAGTTCAGAGGGATCTGTATCCAGGCAAATCCAGCTGTGCTGCAAGTTACTGCCTTACAGACCTTTGATAATTAAAAGAACAAAGAGGAAATGCAGTTCAAATCATCCTGGGTGGCTTGAGTTTTAACAAACAGCCCCAGCTGTCCTTTTGAACTTGCTGTGTTTGTGTTGTATAAAAAGCTTTATTCTTCCTCCTCCCCAGAAAGTGTAAGGTTTAATGCAATTAATATAATTTCTGTAAAAGGTCATTTGGCCAAGGTGGTGCTTTGATGTAAAGAGGGTTTGGGGAATTTTTGCTCTCTTGTTGAGGAGATGCTTAATTGTAATTGAGTGGCTTTGAAATTACCTAAATGGTATCTTTTGCTAACATCTTTAGGATTCTCAGACACAGCAGCTTGCTTAGCTTGAAAGTCCTCTTTCCCTTCATGTGCCTGACTCTTTCCTCCTTTTGTTTCCTTCACTGTGGTTTTTAAGGAAAACTTCCCCCTTCTCCCCTAGTTTTGAAAATAAAGGTGTATCAAAAGCAGTGACAAAGATTTGTCTTTTTGTATTGGGAAATTTTGAAAGTGGGATTACTTAGAAGCTTTTGTCTGACAATTGTTCTTAAATGTTTATGGGTGAACTGCCTGGCAGGGCTCTAAAATTCATGGAAATTGTTATCCTCAGAAACTTTCCTTTAGGAAGAGAAGCCTTAAATTCTGCTTTTCTGTGTTCAGAGGTGGCAGGTGCCCTTCACTAATGGATCAGTGGAAACATTCCAGTCTCTGGTTTGGTTTCTGGCAGTTAAACCCACTCTGCTTTGGATTCTCCCCACGCCCCAGGACTCTGCTCTGTTATCTGCCCCCCCAGCAGCTCTGCACTAATATCAGACAACACTGTAATCTTTGCAATTTCTTTTACAGGTAAAAGTACTTCAGCCACCCTAATTCATACAAACTAGAGGCATCAGGCTGAACAGACCATTGATTTGATTTCCTGCCTCATTTCTTGTCTTTAAGGTGAGGGCATATTTTCCACCTCAGTTTTCTTTATAGAGTTTACCATATATTGATGTTTTATTACAGCAGTTCTTTGTCAGAAATTGGGAGAATAAAATCACAAAGCAGGAGTTCTACTTTGGAGATGGAGGCCAGTGCTTTTCTCTCATCAATGTAACCTTTCTTTTTCAGTTACTCTTCCAAATATTCCTATTACACTCATTCCACTGGCACAGACAGCCTGACTGCTTCCATGCTGTTCCCAACCTTTTTTAACAGGAAAACTGATGAAGCAGCTGCTGCTGCAGTGTGTGCCTCGAGCCCTCAGCAGGCAGGGTAATCCTTTAAATTTGGGCTTGTTGGAGATAACCAGAAAGTCACTGAGTGCTTTCAACATCTGATTTTCAAAGTTTTCCCTTACCATCCCTTTTGCTTGAAAGAAAGAAAGAGGGAAAAAAAAAGCTTCTGATAACACCTGCAACAAAATTTGGGTTGAAAATAAGCTCCCTTCAATGTATTGGTGATCTCTGTTTAGGCAGTGGTGATTTTAATATATCTCAGTTTTGTCTTCCTGATTTAAAACATTTGAAGATGTTTTGTGTTCTTGTTTTCCCCCCTCTGTTTTAGTTGTAGTGGTGGAACTGATATCCTAAACAGATGACCAAAAAGAGCATCTGTAATACATTTGTTGCTAACAGAATAAATTTTATGTTGGAAGGTTGAAAGCTGTTTATTATTATGAATGTGGTTTAATGTAATTGTCTGCATGATCTTTAAGGTCCTTTCCAACCCAAGCCATTCTCTAATTCCTTGATATCAATACAATCTACAAATGATGTTGTTTTTTTTTTTTTAGGTTTTCATTGTATTTCTGCCTGTGCCTGTTGTAGGGATGCTTGATCCATACCTGAGTGTCGAGGGATTTGCACAGAATCCCACACCTTTCCAGTCCATTTAGAGAGAGAGAAAAGGAGGAGAGAAAATGAAAGACCAGTTTAGTTTTTGGAGCTTCTGGGGTGAGTTTGTCTTTTTGTGTACGTTGACTTTTGGTAACATGATTGTATAAAATATAAATCCTGGGAAATGACTTGGCCATCAGTTTGGGTTTTGAGAGAGGACATCACATTCATTATATGTTAAAGTATTTTAGGATTCCTGGTGAGGAGCCTGGCAGACTCCACCTGCTTGTCTCTGACTTGTTGCATGTGGCCATTTTCTGCTCTTGGTGTGATGTACAGCACTGTAAAGGGGAATAACACAAATGCCACAGGATTCTAAATGCTGGAATTCCCAAACTCCTCTTCCCCTTGTCTTCATCAAGTGCCTTTCAGGGAAGGTCAGAGGGGCTGGTGAATGATCAGCCTGACACTGCCCAGGGGCTGTGATGTGTTGATGCCACATCCTGACCCACATCTATGTGCTTGCTTCTCATCAAACAATCAAATTCCCATTAATGAGCTCATTTACAGTGTAAAATGAATGTTTCTTGTGCTCAAAATCCAGACCAACTTAGTAGGGAGTCCTTGAAATATTTTAACTGGCTGCTGTTTTTCTGGCTGCCAGACTTTATTTTGATGTAGAAAGGGCACTCCTCCAAGTCAGAGAAACCCCACCAAGTGTTTCTCAGCTGGCTGTGCACATGGGGATGGCAAAGACTGGACAGTGAAAATTGAGGTTTTCCTGTTGATGTTTCTTTTCAACCAGCAAGGGATGAATTGCACTGAAAACACTGTGAAGGTCTCTGCTCCCTGCTCCAAGCAGAACTCTGTTTTACCCTTTGGTTTTACCCTTTAATAGACTTTAAGATGCTGTCATTTGCTGCATGTCATTTGTAAAAATTAAGAGTTGTTCTTTCCTCCATCATAATATAGCTTACATGCATCTCATTTAATTATCAGGAACACATAAACCCAATTAGTTTTAATTTATCCAGACCATTTGCATCAGAGACAAATACATCTGTCTTTTTCATTTCAAAAATGAATCCTGCAAATTGCAAGCCATCAACACAAGGGCATTTCTAAATTATTTTGGTCAAGAGAACTGTTCCGTGACTTTCTAGTTAATTAGGATTAATTAGGTTGTTTAATATGCTTAGGCTTTTGGTAAGGGATGGAAACATAATAGTCTATTTTATGTTAATAATGCAGATCAGTTAAGAAGCCCAAGGAATGGAAGGCTCCAAAACCAAAACTGATTTTCCATATATTGTGGGATGTACAGACTCTCAAAGAAAAACTGTGATTTATTTCAGTAAGACTGAGGGATTTCAAATGCTGATTTCCAAAGGAACTACAACAGAGGGGTTAAGGAACAAATATTTGTCAGCATGAGCTGTGAAACGTTGCTAGGTATGAATTGGATTCTGTTTTATTGTAACTAAAAACCTGGAAATAAGCCCCAAACCTAACAAAAACTCCTCAGCAAATCCTTCAGGATTTGGCCCAGTGTGTGTCTATCACATATTTCTCTGAACATAATGCAACAAAAATTACCCAATGTTTGTGTTGAAGAATACAAACATAATTTTTTTTGTTATTTTTTTGGGACAGCATTTCTTGTGGTACTTTTACTTTTTTTCTAATGTTTACTTGACAAGATGAAATAGTATAAAACTCCATCAATTTTATTTTTTTCCTTTGTTTGTTGCTGTTTTTCCCTGTGTTAAATTTACTGCAGAGGTGCTGATTTTTGGTTAAAGGAACTCTTCATTGGGAGAGGCCTTCCAGAATTTCCTGCTGTAGCCAGTTTCTCTGTGCCGTAAAATAATGGCAGTAGGTGCAGAAATCTGAATAAACATCTTCATAAGGATGGAGAGGTGATCAATGTGAGTTGGGAATTATGCTTGGATCTACCAAAATTCTGTTTATAACCTTAAAATGCTGTAAATTGAGCAATGGCTGAGAGCCATGAAAAGTTATCAAAACACAGTGGCCCATGGTGTGGTGCCCACAAACCATTTCTACCAATGCTGCTTCTGCACCAGACTTCTGACAATTATTTTATGGTTTTTATTGCAAGTTTGATTCGTTTATACAGGGAAAACAGAAGAGAAGTTAATTGAATGTGGCTCAGTTTGAAAAATGTGAACGCTTTTCTTAAAGTGCTCTGAAACAGCCTGGAAAAATCATGCTCTGTTGCATTATTTTTGTCTGGCTGCTGGAGCTTGCCAAATACAAATATACTTTCTCCTCTACTATATTTAATTTTCCTACTTATATTACATTAGAGTTGCTATTAAATTATCAAATAGATACATCATATGTTGCTTGAAACACAGCTGCTGTTATTTTCATTTAGCTGTTAGTGCTGTAAAACCACTTTTTATGGTCACAATAAGAACACCAGCTACAAACAGAACAAAGAGGGTTTTTTTTTTTAAAAAAAAAACAACCCAGCAACTTTTGAGGCAGAGAGGAATCACATCATCTGGCCTGATTCCAACCATTGGGCTTG